AAGGCGCAACCCTGAAATCGCTTGGTCACTCTACTGGCGGTGGATATGGGCCTCCACATCGAGAGAGCTACGCTATCGGGTATTTTCGTCTACTCCTCCACGCCTGCTGGGAGCAACGTCATTTGAATCTATAATTGTAGAGAGAGGTACAACTAACAAAAAAATATTAACGTAACACGGGGCACCCGAGGCATCTTCGTAAAGATGACGCACGGCGCGCTCTCTTTATTTACGATGATTTAGGGACTCGACTTTCCGCACCGTATAACAAAGGTGGTGCTCACCAGAATGACACGTGGTAAATCTCATTACAGCATTCACGTGCGCTCTCTCAAGACAACAACTCAATTATAATCGCCCTAACAAACGAAATATATAAAACAAGGAAAAATATCTCCCGTAAAGGCTTGACAGACTATTGGGGCAAGTGCTGTTAGCGAATACCTATTGAGGCCGGCACAGACCACGAGTAGGTGCCCAGCACCACGCTCGGCCGCACCAGGTACTCAGTTGAGGCTGAGCCGACTTAGGGGAGGCTCAGGACCGGTTCAGATAATCATCCCTGGTGCTCGCCGCAAGTAGGAATCGAACTCGGGTATCTGGTTTCGTAGCGCAATGCGCTACACACAAATATAATAAGCGATATCCCGTGCAATGGTCTTTCTTGATATCAGAAAGATTTAGAAGGCCCATTGACTGAAACGTCGCTTATTATATACGTATTCCTTTCAGGGAAGTGTTTATCGACGAATGTGCCGAGGTTTTTTTGTGTGTTTGTTATTTATACCTTAGGCACCACTACCAATGCAATACTTCTCTCTTAAGGGTGCTGCTTTCGCCAAGCGCAATCTTTACAGAAATCCGAGCTATTGCCTTCAAAGAAGGTCGGCTGTCATTAGCGCGTTTAATTATCGAGGCGAGCTCATTGAGATGCCCAACTTTGCTCATGATAATGTGCTTATAATAAAAAAACCAGAATGGGCCTATAGGGGGATGTCATAGGCCACTATGCACGATTTCCTAAAGATTAACCTTTTGAAAGGTCTCCCTGCGAGCGCCGTTCCACAGAAAGAAAAGGGTCCCCTTTGACCCCCTTCTTATGCACTACACGGAGAAATATTTCCCTTGGTCGCAGTGCCGGATTACACTAGTGCGAGGCCTGTAGCATATGTTATAAAGGGGCCCTAAATAAAAAAAGAAAACCACGTAACTATTAAAACACAAATTTTTCACTTGCATATTAAAGTAATTGTATTTTTTCATTTGCTGTACAGCCAGATAATACGACAAATCGGTAACCTTAAACACCCAGTCTTCATCAAAGTTGAAGGCAGTATAGCAGGGACGTGTGGTCAGGGGAGGCAGGGGAGGCAGAGCCTCATCCATCATACTTCAATGAAAATATCTGTTACGAAAAGTAAAAAAAAGAATAATCAAATAAAATAAATATTAAGATTGTTCCACTGATCTGTGTTATAAATGTCATTTCTATACGATTCAAATCATTTTAATACTCAAAATCTCTAAATTTGCGGAGCTTCGCTGCAAATACAGGAAGAGACGAGAGGTGAGGCAGCGACGAGCTCAGCCTCCCCTCTGATTGCGCAACCCGTCAGTAACTGGATGGAGCGCGGGCAATAAGCCCGTGCCTGTTACTATCTCAGTATGTCACCAATGTAATGTTTGTAGACCCCTTCATTTCATGTCCTCGCCTTCCATACTCCAGATAACTTATTTCACGTAGGCGTATAAAGATATTTAGGCTCGATGGCCTCTAACACGCCCCCCTCAGTGTGTGAATCTGACACTAGCCAGTGCCACCCCAGCCAATGACCTCACCGCACGTCACTGCAGTATAGTACTATAGTAATAGAGCAAGTGCAGAATCACTGAACCGGAATTGATAGCTTGAAAGCATTCAGCGCGGGCCCTTGAAAGTGCGGGGCCCGTAGCTACTACATATGTAGCTACTTGTGCTACTCGAATAATCCGGCACTGCTTGGTCGACGAAGAACCCCTTCAACGCACGCTGGATCGGTGGCTGGCAAACACGAAGGGGCTGATATAACCTTACAGCACCAGACCCTTCAAAAAGCCAACAAGCACGTGTAACTTAAAACAAGCTAATCTAATGTATCGGCCGTCGGGGTTTTCAGGCAATGCTTTCCAGTTACATTTGTTTCAACGGGAAACCCGCGGGGCCGGTTTCGACTTTCTTGAGTCTCCTCAGCAGTGCTCGGTGCATTAAGACAACGAGACGTGTTAGTCGAGATCGACCGGCGAGTATTCCGACTTAACGAAATGCGTGAGTGTGGTGAGTGACTAATGCACTGTGCTATGGACCCGGCGACATGAGTTCGAATCCTTTTCACGGCCAACATGAGAAGTCAGCAGCTAGCGATCCTGACAATCTCCCCTTCACCAATCCGCATCGACCAGCGTGGTGAAGTACGAACAACGACACGGTTCGGGGAGGCCCTCATCCAGCAGTGGATTGAGAAGTTACTGAAAATCAATCTTGCTCTTGAGTAGCACTACGGGGAACTGCAACCAGGAGTGGGTCACGGATGTAAAGGGGCATCATTCACGTGTCCACGTGTGAGCAAAGGGCACGGACAAACACATTTAGGCTCTGGCGGTTGTCCCGTGTCCCTCTCCGATGTGTTTTTTGGTTCCGCCACGTGCTGCTCGGCATGACGTCCGACGTTTCGCTCCACGTGCCGGGAAGCTTAAGCCCATTAAACATTTATGTGCACTCGCCGCTGTGGCAGCTGAAGCTCACGGCACTTGGAGCGAAACGTCGGAGATCGTGCCGCCGGAAAGAAAAAAAACACGCGGGTAGAGCCTCTAAAACCCCATCGAAGAGTTGCACACACAAACACACACGCACACGTGCCTTTTAAGAAGCGAGGTCGGTGGAGAGGTGCCTGGACGATGACACCTGTCCCCTCTTCTCCCCCGCCCGATGAGACCTCCCTGCCACGACGTTTCACCCATGCCAATGCCCTCGTAAGTGCTTTGGTGCGGTGCTTCCCGTCATTCGGGATAAGAGAGAGGGGGGGGGGGCTTAATTTGCCACTCCAGTAATGCAATCCCAAAAGTTAAATGTTTCCGAGCGCTCGCAGCTCGCTGGCAGCCTCGAATTGGTGTCACGGGGTGGTGGTTTGGCTTGAGCTCTGTGGCCCTCAACTTCCCCGTATCCACCACTGCTTTTAGGGAAAAATGATACCCGTACCGTATTGGAATTGTTATGCGCATGCTGTGCGCGCAGCCCGACAATTGAATGGATACACGCACTGCTTGTGGCGCCGCGCGGTTGAACTGGGCGCTGCCTGGTCCCATGAATTATTTACGCACCCAACACCCCAAATTCCCGAGTCCAAAAATCTCCCCCTTCATTTCGTAGCCCGGTGCCTGAGCCCCTCAGGCCTGCGGGCCATTGTGCAGTTGCACCGCCTGCACACTCCTCGATAGCGACGCCACTGCTGCCGCCTCTTGCGCCTGAGGATCACAAACGACTGCGTGGAAGCATTCGCGTAGGTTATTTCACAGGGGCTGTAGTGCTTAATGTAATCGATTCACATCGATGGTATGCATTCTCGCGATACATGCGTGGTTGAAGTCGCGTGTGCACCGATCGATGTTTTTTTCAGTTCCTAATTTAGTGTTTACTGGGTTCACGTGAGGACCCTCTAGCCACTAGTGCCCGCTACATGCACCACGATGTTACACAATAGCTGGCTATTGAATTAATTCGAGGTGGGGCGAATAGTCCGGTAATCAAACGATATATATTATTATCGATCACTCTTGGTAATTGATTATTGTACTCGGACACCTTTAAAAATCTCGGCCGACCACACATCCCCAGAAAGCCACGCCCAGTGTGACAACGTGGCCGATGATGCCAATGACGCCACCAAGGCCCAAATATTACCTCCCGTCCAGCGGCACACATGCGAACAGCGTTAATTATTTTTCCTAACTAACTATATTGTTGTGTTATCAGATTAGTCGAGTGATCAAAGCAATAATCGTTACAGTAATTGACAACTTCAATAATTAGATATCCCAATTCTAAATACATAGTCACAATTCATGACATTGTGATGGAGTGGACGATAGTCCAGACCGCTGTTCAGTGAATTATGTTGGCACGCCACATCCATGTTACCTTATTTTGTTCCCATGATACTTATCATGTCCTCATACAATGATAAGAATGTGAGGTTCAATAATATAGCATGACTATGGATTGTTGCACCTTGAAATCTAGTGGTCGTTAGTACCTTATACTGGTAGGAACCTCCTGGTTCCACCAGCCCACAGGGGATTATTGTGTCCGTCCGTCGTGCATCCAAAAATGGGAGGGGTGGGGCTGGGTGGAGAGGGGAGGGTGGGGAGGAGCTGGGTGGGGAGGAGCTGGGTGGGGAGGGTGGGGAGGTGCTGGGTGGGGAGGGGTGGGGCTGGGTGGGGAGGGGCTGGTCACCCCGTGGTGCCCTTATAAAACTCAACATTTAACCTACTCACGCCGGCATTTGTGCCCGCCCCCACAGTCGGGAATATTTGCGCTTTTACGAACATGCCAGCCAGTGTCAAGCGGCCGCTCTGACTCATCAAGCCAGGGCTACATAAACCATATAAAATCCAAATTTATTGGTCGCTTACACGGTTACGCTGGCTGATGTTATAGCTTGAGTTGTCAGCTCCACAACACTGCAATAGAATGTCTAACAAATAATAATCAACATGTGCGTGGAATGCTTCTCCTGTCTCTCTATCGCCCTCATCCGAATGCCAGAATCGGAATCTTTATCTAGACTGGAGGAATTACGATGAGCTATGAAGCGCTTTTTTCACGACAGGGATGTGTCTCCGCGTGACGCTTTTGCGTTGGCCTCCTGCCATCACGGATGAGCGGAGAGTGGAGGGGCGGGGATGGATGAAGCATGGACGCAGTGCTGCAGTAGGAAGGGAGGGGAAAGGGTGGCTTTTTGGGGGGAGGGAGGGAGACGGGTGGGGTGGCCTTCTGGAGTGGGGCGTGCGGGGGGGGGGCTGGCGCCGCATGTTTGCGTAGCCGAATCGTCGGAGAGCGAAGCGAGCAGCGGCGGCTTGGTGGCTCAACACTTTTTTTTGCGGCTGTGGCGGTGCTGGTGCCGCAGCTACCGAAATGTCTAGCGACGGCTCTGGGACGGACGTGGAGTCCATCCACACGGGAGGAAATGATGACCACCCCTTGCACCCACCGCCGAACCACCCAGCAACGCTCGTCAGCAGTCATGGATGCAGGTGGCTTGGCGGTCCGTATTGTACCAGTCGCCGTCGAAGTTGCAGTTGCAGGTGGTGCATTCGTCCAGTTTGACCTCTCGACCCGCGGGGATGACGTTCGAGCCGGCCAGGCAGTTTGGTCCTGCGTGCGGTTTGCGCGTATTTTAGAGAGAGGGGAGGAGGAGGAGAGAGGACGGGGGACAAATGAGTTATGCTAATCGTTGACAACTTGATTTTAAATATAATTAATTACGTTAATACTTTCCAACACTGTATGCGTTTTGCCTTGAGAAGTATTTAATTAGCAGTGTGGAAAGCGACGGGTCACTGTAAGGGCAGAATGTATTTTTTTTTACAGAGTAGAGCATTTGCAAGTAATGCTTCTTTGTTTTGGTTTGTTTACCTACTTGGCTAATTAGGGGTGTTATAGACCCCCCCCCCCCCACCACCACCGAACGCTTAAACACTTTGCACAGTTTGGAAGCGTTGTTGTCCTTGCAAATCCCCTTGAATGCTGCCTACATCTTCAGATCTTGGAAGCTAAGCTGATTGGAGCCTGGTAAGTAATCGGATAAGAGACTGCGTGGTTGATACGAGATATTGTTGTAGGGCTTGGATTGTGAGGTGGCCAGGAGCTGATAGTACCGCATTGGATTACTGAATCCATCAGCGCAAAGCTTTGAGTGTTACACCGTCGTGTGCAACTTTCCGCCAAAAACACGAATCCGTTGAATTGGTCAAAAATGTCAAATGCAGCAAGGTCCGCCTGCAAGATTGTCTCAGTTGGAGCTTTCCCGGATAAAGGCCATAACTATTTAAAATAATGTGTACTGACCTTTACTGTCATACACGTGACTATATTTCATACACCCGTTGGGTTTTCGCTGTCCCTTTTTCTTCGTGCTATTATACAATATCGATGATGCCGTTTTGACGTTGAAATTTTCAACGCTTGATTTTTTCGGTGTTTCCTCCGCTGTTTGGTTCCAGCATTGGAATGCTGTGCGGCGTTCATCGCTGCGTCTGTGTTGACCAAGATCTCCCTTGGATAAGCGAACACTCGTGAAGGTCGGAACGGGTGGGTGGCCAGCACCACGCCCGACCGCCTTTGTTTCCCCAGTGGCGATGTTTACACACCCCTCCCGCCAAAGTGCCTTGACCAGGACCAGAACCCGGTTGAGAAAATCGTCACCGATATCGGCCGTGAGCGGGAATCGAAAGTGAATGCGCCCTTTTGCAAGCGGTGCATTTCCGTGGTTCGCTGGATTCCTAGCGCAGCGCGCTAACCGCTACGCTACTCGGGGCGCACGGTATCGCTCACAATGCTGCGCCGTGTATCCCATTTTTGGACCAATTAAACCCAAATTAGATATCCACACGCGTCCACTCACTGCGGGGCAGCGCCGGAGGGATTCGGTGGGTTGCTGGGGGTCGTTATTTGTGGGGGCCCATTACGGGGGGGCGGGGGGCGGGTGGAGGACCCACGACCCTTAAGCAGATGACGAATTTTTTGAAGAGCACGGTGGAGTTGGTGGTGGGGGGGATGAGCAAGGAAGCCCGCTGAGTGAGGGGAAGGAAAGCGTTTCGGACATGCTCACCTCCTCACCCAGAGGGCTCCTTGCAGACATCAAACCAGAGTAACCCCCTCTCCCCCTCACATTTTTTTCCTTGAAGATACATAACTCGCATAGACGGCGTGTCCCGGGCTGTCCGACACGAATTTGAAAATTGGCTAATAAATATGGGGCCGTCCATAAACGACGTCATGCGATTTTGGCCGATTTTTGACCCCCCTCTCCCCCTCGTCACACGACGTCACAAACAGTCAGACCCCCCTCAAATATGACGTCACAAAGCTCTGCCCCCCCCCCCCAAACCATATTTCCATTTTGAAAATGAAACATGCTTCAAATCACTTTAAATTATTGTCATTGTAGTGCGTATTTAATGTGACTCTGCACTCTGATGTTGTCGGAGAAAACATTTATTAAAACGTCTATTTAATTAAGTAGAACCTGTTGTCTATATTTATTTAAAGTTGGGCATTTTGATGTGACGTCACATTTCTTAACCCCCGCCTCCCCCCCTCGTCACACATCGTCACAAATGTCTTGCCTCCCTCCCCCCTAGGTGCGTGACGTCATTTATGGACGGCCCCTAAGTAGGCTTTATCGTTGAGTTCAAACGCCTCATTATGGCACTACTGACGTCAGCTTTCACACCTTTAACCCGTCCAATATACAATGGGGGCGCCTGCCTGCGATGTTCTACTTGAAGCAGCTTCAAGCTCTCGTCGGACACGCTAAGGCTCGCCGTGTTCGCTTTGTGGGCTTCATTTCAGAGGAGTCCCATTAAAATGGAACGAGCGGCTGTTATATTAATTATTCTCTGGCACAGAAAATGCGGAAAATCCACCACTGGCTCAAGATTGCCAACACAGATGAGCACTGCCCAATGATGAGGGTTACACACAATGACAATGATGATTAATGGTCCCTCTGGCATCTGGGAACTCCAATAGGTGGTTCAGAGGTCACAGATATGGCAACGGCACCGCTGACACCCTGGCTTCTAATTTATGATGACATCGAGTTATCAAGTGAAGTAGGCTGATCGTCTCAGCTCAGTCACCAATGCCTGCAGAAATGGCTGCACAAAAAACATCACATTTAATTTCAGGTTTCACTTAATTTCGCTCAATTCCTGCTTTGACAGTGCCCCCCGGCCCCGTCTCCCCCAGTGTGCAGATAGAAAGGTCACTTTAAGGGGTTCTAAAAATCTTGATTTGAAGCTTTCGTTACTGCAGGAATCCATACTCTTTGGTTCTTTCGGTAAAGTCACCGAAAGAACCAAAGAGTATGGGTTCTAAAAAGTCGTTCTGTCATATAACATTCCACGGGCTGTTCTTGAGCACGTGGGCTCGTGCGTCGTTCTCGCTCTGCGAGGATTTCCGAACGGAGGCCGCTTCCCGTGAACGACACCGACAGCACAGAGTGAGCACAACATCGGGACACGGGCTGAGAACCGACCTGCCCGACGAAGCGGGAAGGGGCTCAGAACGGCGAAGGCGGTACGCACCGTGTTTGCAGACGGGACAGCACTGCTTGGGCTCATAGACGGGGTCCACGCACTCGGGCAGCGGGCAGTCCGAGACCACGCACGTCACCTCCCCGTCTGCCTCGCAGCGGCACCGCTCGCACGGGGACAGCTGCCGTGGGCGGGGGTGGGAAGTGGAAGGAAGGGCATGAGGAAGGGATTGAGACGTGAGGAAAGCGAGGGACGGGGAGGATTAAAAATAAAAAAGGGTTGGATGGGTACGGGAAATATGGCAGGGATGTGAGTCGGGCGGTAAATGGATGGGAGGGATGAGATGAATGAAATGGATTGGGGGAGGAGAGAAGTGCCGAGGATGGGATGTATGGGAGGGACGACAGAGATGTTAAGTGGATGAGAAGAGAATGGGTGGGATGGGCGAGACGGGATGGATGAGAAGAATGAGAGTGATTGGAGGTGACCGGATGAGGATGGGAGCACTTAAGAAGAACGAGTGTGCGTTGGAAATGAAAGAGAGGGATGTGAGTGAGGTGGACGGCAGGGATGGGAGAGATGGGATTGAGAGGGATGGGAGGGATGAGAAGGGTAGGAAAATGGAAGACGTAGTAAGGACGGGAGAGTTGGGAGGTGGACGGAAAAGTGACAAGAAAGTGACAGCAGTGTTACGCAAGAAGCGTGTTGCAGAGCGAGGATTGGAACGGGAGATAGGTGGACCGGATGATCGAGACGGATTTGCGGGTTGTGCCGGAGAGGGCCAAGAGGGACGTGCGGGATGAAGTAGGAATTGCGACCGAGCTCGATCTCAGGGTGAAGTGATGGATCGTGGCATCAGCCTCTCGAGCCCAGGGTTATGCCCAGGGCTGTCATCACGGAGATTTGAAGTCGCGTTACCCGCGGGTAACCGCACGCTCATGGCGTGCGGAGCTCCGACTTCGGGAGATGAAAACGACGGAGTTGGCAAAAAAACAAAAAAACACAGAGAGACAAATGACATTCACTCACTGAGAGGGGGGGGGGGGAGTCAGTGCGTATGTGAGGGGTAACGCGGCTGAGCAGTCCGGTAAAAGGGTGCAGCCCTGCAACTGCTTGCTTACACCACTGCTGGTGGAAGAGCTTCCCTTAGAGAGAGAGAGAGATCTCTATTTTGGCCTAATCTTGCACGCTGACCAGATGCAATGGAAGAGGTGTAAGTATCCACATTTTACCCCACCGCACGCGACCTACCAATCGACTACTTGAGGTCTATCCTTTTCTGGGTGGATAGAGGCTGTCGAATTTAAGAGCCTCCCCCCCCCCCTCCTTTGTTTTCACCTCCACGCCAGGAGGTCGAACGGAACCGGTGACCCCTGGATTGCAAGTCCGGCCAACTTACCATTAAACCCCACGTGCAGCGTGCAAGTACCCGGTTAAGGTAGTGGGGAACGGAATATCGTTTTTGCATTCATCACACCTAGGACATTCCTTTCGTTCGTTCAGTGCACCGCGTCCTTTGCGTTATGTGTGAACAGATGTTGCCTCTTTGTGCTGGAACAAACCGTGCGTGCGTGAGCGATGCGGCTTCAATATGATTACACGGGGCAGAGTCGCACGCACGAGGGAAGTGATATTTCCAGGAGGCCACTGATCTGTCTGAGCTGGGGTTATCGTTTTAGCTCAGTTTTAATAAATTGCTCTGGTGGGAGAATCGGCGACGCAGTGGTTCGCGCACTTGCGCTATGAACCCGGTGCCACGGCTAATATGAGTGGCGGGTGATATCTGAACAAGTCCTGCACTGTGCTTGCCACTCATTACACACATAGTGCTTTTCACAAATGAACCATAATACCTTGCTCATCTCGTCAAGGAGCATAAACCATCACGCAAACTCCGGTGATCCTTGCAGCAGCGGCTTTTGGCTAGCTATCGAACAAAGATGGACAATGCATCGCGCTTTCAGATGTGCTTCTGCAGCCGTCTGGAAGGCTCTTCCTTCCGAAATTAGGAAGTCACTGGAACTGTGCACTTTGGAATCGAGATTGAAAACTCAATTCTTGAGAACTGTTTTTTGTGTCAAGTTTGTTGTCCATCCCCCGCTCCTCCAATTATCACGATTAATTACGTATGGTGCAAAAGAATAAACATACATACTGACCAGCGCGGCGAAGTATGGTTAAACAACTCCCCATAATTGACACGAGGTGGATTGACACGAGCTCAGATAATGCTAACAACCTGACGATACTGGATGTCATCTCCAGCAAAAAGAGATTAGTCTCCAACACACCAGTCTGCTGAAGCAGGAATATATTTGGCATATTTTATCCACTTTAAAGCTTTCGTGACTGCAGGGATTCATCTTCTTGGTTCTTTCGGTAAAGTCACGTAGAAGGGAAGTAATAAAATAATAAAAATAAAACATAATAAAACAATTCTCACGACGTTTCGGCCACAACGCAAGCAGCCGTCCTCAGGTGAAAACCAGGTCCGTCGAGGCGACAGAGTCTGAATGAAACAGCACACGAGCTTGGAGCATATATATAAGCTGGGCTTTGTCAATGCGCCCAGCTTATATATATGCTCCAAGCTCGTGTGCTGTTTCATTCAGACTCTGTCGCCTCGACGGACCTGGTTTTCACCTGAGGACGGCTGCTTGCGTTGTGGCCGAAACGTCGTGAGAATTGTTTTATTATGTTTTATTTTTATTATTTTATTACTTCCCTTCTACGTGACTTTACCGAAAGAACCAAGAAGATATTTTATCCACGTTTTACAACACATATTTTGACACGAGCAAACCCAAATGAAACCAATTATGAAAGCCTAAGCATACAATTTACTATTTATGATTATTATAAAACATATTCCACATTACGCACATTTCTTCTTTGCACGTGGAAATGTTGCATTGGGACTTGGAGACTCGTTCACGAAAGAGCGTCTTGAAGCCGGGTGCACACCCGTGATCCACTGGTTTGGAGAAATAAGATTGTGGATTGTACAGGTGTGTAAATGCCCAACATCTGACGGGCTGCAACGTGACCACGAGATGTAAGGACAGCAAGTGGGTTCGTGAATCCTTCCGCACGGACGTTCGAGTGTGATCCCCACGCATTGCTTGCTTGGTGGGTTTTCTCAAAGTACTACGGTCTCCTCCCACACAAAGCAAAACCTTCAGAGAATAAACCTGACTCGGCCAAACATTCTAATGCGGATTAAAAGGTGCAACCCTGCCATTTAGAGTGCGCTCTTAGATATTTCCTCCAGAGGGCATGCGGTCGATTCTTCCACGCGTCTTGGAAGGGGTGGGAATGCCCCCAAGTTTAACCCACCACACACACAAGCCTCAGAACCCGAGTGAAGTTCGCCCGGTACGTAATGATTTATGTCTACGACCGCCGTAAGGGAACTATTTTACGTGTGGCTCTCTGAAACGTTTTCGGGTTGTACCGAGCGTTGTCCGGCGTGAAGTCCGACATTTCAATCCACGCGATGGGAGCATCTTCAGGTTACTGAATTTAATGTCGGTTCCCAGCACATGGAGCGGAACGCTGTACCATTATTGCCGAATAGCGCGCGGTACAATTGCGCAGAATTTGAAATTTACCCGAAAAATTGGGAAAAGTGTAGCGACTTGGCACCCTACTACGAAACTACAGCAGGCTATGAAAATATCCCAATGTGTCAGGATCATCCTGATGAGAAAAAAAGTGTTTTATATTCAGCGAGGCTTTCCCGGGTAAATAAAGGGAATTATGATTAATTTTCACTTAAAACTTTCGTGACTGCAGGAATGGTTCTTTCGGTAAAGTCACGTATATAGAAAATAAAAATGAAATACAATTATGAATTTTTAAAAAAATATATTTTTATTTTCTATCTACGTGACTTTACCGAAGGAATTATGATAATAATAATAAGAACCCAAAAACACATTGGAGAGCTACAGAGAACAATCGCGAAAACCTAAGCAGTGTTCACGTTTGTCGAAAAATATGTCATGTTGCCTGTGTAAGCAGCATGTGCTCTGTCTGGTGCGTGGGTAGGTGCGCACTAAATGATGCGCTGGTGGAGAAATCTGATAGAATTCCATGTGCACGCCTGAGCGATATTAACCAGCGGGGGGGGCGGGTGGGGGCTTGATACTCCATCCATGAACGCCTCGAGGGGATTACATTACCTTGGTGGTAATGGTTTAACCCTGGCGAAAGAGTTTAGAGAAATCTGTAATTCTTCTCGGATGCACACGCAATAAAGCTCTCGAAAACAGCGATTATATATGAATACATCACTCGCCGCCGACCCATGAGGTATTACGTAACTTCCAAATGGGTATGGGCACGCGTTTACATTCGCGCAGGGCTTAATTTCTCATTGAATATCAGCCGCTATCTTGGTCGAAATTCCGAGACGTTATACGTGCCATGAGCAGCGTGGCGAGGTTATGATCACACAACTCTCATGACCAACACGACGTGGACAGCATTTCGTCCAGCATTGACTGTTAATTCAATTCGCTGAGTTTTAGGTAAACCTAATAAGGTAAACAAACACATGCTGGCCTGTGTTAGCAGTGGTGCACACGTTTGCAGAAAACAACACAGGGGTATTGCCCGAAACGTCGGTCTACCATGTGTTCTCTTATGAGCAGAATTAATGACGATGTTAGTGAGTTTTCATCTTCTCTTCCTATCGAGTTAATAAACCAGTAATGCAGTGCCTGTATTCGAGTAATGCATCTCTAACAAAATTGTTATTCACAAATTAAAAATCATTTACAGTCAGTTGTCGCCCATAACCGGTTCAGGCATCGCTCGCCATTGATCGATCTTAGCCGTGGCCGGGAATGGAACCCGAGGAGCCGGGTCCAGATTGCCTGCGTTAGACTCGCGCATCTCTAGCCTCCCGCCCAGTAGCTGAAAGTGATTTCCGCGGGCAGTGGAGCAGTGAATGAAATGGGAGCTCCTCGGCCGCGTGGGTTTGTATGTATATTGAACTTCTTTCGCACCGTACGTAGCCAAACCGTGCTAATCGGCTGGGGACCCTCCTGCCCCATAGGTCTAGGCGCAGTTGCACCGACTGCGCCCTTCACGCCGAATTTTCCCGTCGCCAACGCCAAAGAGCGGCCAATTAAAAGGCGCCCCCAGCACGTTACCTTGAACTCCTGCAGCGACCCGTACTTGGCGCCCTTGAACTCGCAGCCGCTGCGCATCTGCTTGCACTGCTGGCAGCAACCGTCCGACTCGACGCGCACGCACTTGGGGTGCAGGCGCGGGCAGTCGGGGGGCGCGCACACGGGCCCGTCCTCGGCGCACACGCACGGGCACGACGCGTGCCCCGGGAAGAAGCGCTCTCCGAGCCGGTAAACGCGCCCCGTCGCGTCTTCGCAACCCCGCTGCATCCGGCGGTCGGGCTCGCCCTCGTAGGCGCCGGGCGACGTCGTCTCCTGCAGGGAGGCTGGGCTAGGCGCCGCGTGGCCTCGGGAGCCGAGACCCGCGGCGGCTCCGAACCGAGTGACGTCCGGAGCGCCGAGGCTCCGCGGCCCCGGGGAGAGCGGACCCGCGCCGAGAGGGTGGATCAAGAGGGGCTCCAAGTAGATTAGCGCGAGGACGAGCGCTTGCCCGCGAGATAGACGTGGTAGCGCCCTCATGGCTGAGACGCCGGCGAGGGAATTGCGTAAAAATGTAGCTCTCGACAACGCAGTGTGATTTACGCGCCCGAGCTGACGCAGCGGGGGCACCCAAACGAATTTACGGTGGCGATGCAGAGAGCCGCTACGAAATGCGGAGCCGCTCTCGGAGAGTCGGAGTCGTGCGTTCGAGTCGCATGTTAAGCGGCTTTATAACCCACCTCGTGCATCGCTACACCGCCACCACCACCACCACGTCCCGTGACCGCGCGTCGGCGTCAGGAGCCGGAGTGAGCGCGGACCGTGCGTGTGCGAACTTGAAATGCGGAGCGAGCGAGACGGGGGTGACACAGTCACTGCCGCCCCCCCCCAACAACTCCCGCAACGCAGCCTCCCGCCCCTGCGCCGACAACGCGCACGGACGCACTTTGAGAGAGGAAAAACCAAAATGTGCCATTTCTAGCGTGACCTGTAAATTCACATTGGAGTCATGAAAATCCAGCTACACGTTCGTGGATTGAGAGATTTTATTTAACCAGGTGAGGTCCCTTTCAGATTAGCATTCAGCCGCATTTGGTTACGCTCTTAACTCGAAAAACATGTCGACGTTTCGGCTTACTGCCTGCTTCAGAAAATAGAACAACAACAACACTGCGGCATGCATATCAATGAAATTACAACAATCACACTCTTCCCATTCTCACTGGCCCTCCATTCAGTATTCGATGGTGATCGCAGAGTACAACACGATGCACAGGACGGGTACAGCAATTAGCGTCTTCGCACGTGTCTCTGGCCCCTGTGGGTGCTGTCGGTGTGAGCAGGGCGCGCTGAGTTTGCACGGCGCTTCCGTGACCCATAGTGTGAGTGATTCCATTTCTTGGCGCGTGGCTTCGCGTATTGATTTGTAATAAATAATTATGCCCGTCTCGTTGAATCGATGCGTTGCGCCTTTAGTGCTGCGGTTGTCGCAAGGTAGGGGTGGGGGGCTCGGTTGGCTACATTTTTACTCCGCAGCCAACCTCCTCCTTCTCCGCCCGGTTAGACCTCTGCGTGAATCAAACTCGGGATTTACGCTGCTCCCTAAGCAGTAAAGGCTGCGTCGCGTAAACTCGTAAAAAGAACTGTCAAAGGCAATCCGCTGTGTGTCCGTGTGCAGATAAGCGCACGGGCATGGCGTGAACGGGCGCGCGGTGCACACGTGTGCGTGAAAGAGAGCACACGTGTGCGCGATCACCCTGCGTGCGAGATGTGGGGAGTGGTAGTTGTCGTGGTTGGAGCGGTGACCCGAGCTCGATTCTCGCTCACGACTACAATTGTGGCGAATATTTTCTACTGCTGTTGGGCCCTTTCTACGTAGACTTGGCCTAACATTAGTACCTAGTGCAGTGTGCAAACACCAGAACTGGGGAGACAAAGACAGACAGACGTGGTCCTTGCCACCCACTCCCTAGTGTACCGTGCCAGCCTCAATAGGTGCTAGCTAAACAACACCTGCCCAAAGGTCTGTTGGGGCAAGCGGGATCTTTGTCTTCTTCGAGGGATGCAAATGCGTGAGTCTGTGTGACGTGTGAGCGATGGTTAAGACAGCAACGCAAACTCCCTTGATTGATAGCATAGTCTGTGTGTGTGCGTCTGTGTGTAACGACGATTATCTGAACCGGTCCTGGGTCTCCCCTCGGTCGGCTCAGTCTCAAACGAGTACCTGGGGCAATGTGTAAACATCGTCACTAGGGAGACAAAGACGGCCGGGCGTGGTGCTGGCCACCCACCCCCCTTCGCTAACAGCACTTGCCCCAACAGTCTGTTAAGGCTATACGGGGGGGGGATCTTTGTCTTTGTTTTGTCTGTGTGTAACAGTTCGTGTGCGCGCACGCGTATGCCGACGATGACGCAAATGCCGTTCTTATTCGCACTGACTTGCTGCTCATCAAGTTCAGGAACGGGCAAGCACGTTTTTTGCTGTTGTTGTTGTTCGCACGTTTTGCTAGCACAGGGCGAAGGTAAGTGCCTCGTTTTTGTTGTTGGTCATGTTAACATTCATCGCATTGGCAGCTTGCTGACGAGCACTACAAAGCAACGCCGGTTGAGGTTGTTGGCTACAGTAAAAAACATTAGACTTTTAATGTTGGTCCCCCCCCCCCTCTCTTCAACGAGTTTATTTTCCCTCTGATTTTACTGCGTTAAAATGTGATGAGCCGAAATATAAACTTGCACATCATGGGCGACACTTTAAATCTGATGTGGGCCAGCCTTACAGGCCCGCGACAACACGAAGCCTCATCGCTTCGAAAGAGGCCGCAAACAAAATCTCTCCGCCACTGGTTATCTTCTCGGCCGCACTAATCAGGTAACAAGAGAGTGGATTGTTTTCACCTGGCAACAAGAACAACAACGAACACTGGCTTTTAATTCCAGCCCCGCCCAGTCACTCGTGTCACTGCAAGGCCCTCTTTGATACTCGGTCGACGTGCGCATTAAAGCTGCATCGTTATCTCAGATTACCATTACATTCTGATCGCAATTCATGACGAACCACCAAAACAAAGATCCCCCCGTATAGCGTTAAACATACTTTTGGGGCAAGAGCTGTTAGCGAGCACGTATGAAGGCCGGCACGGCTCACGAGAGGGTGGCTGGCCAACACCACGCCTGGCACCCTTCGTCTCCCCAGTGGTGATGTTTTACACACCGCACCAGGTACTTATTTGAGGCTGAGTCAACCTAGGGGAGGTCCAGGACCGATCTCAGATAATCGTCACTCGTGTTGGCCGTGAGCGGGAATCGAACTCGGGTGGCCGGGTTCGTGGTGCAGCACACTAACCGCTACACCACCGCTCCCCGCATAACGAATCACTCAGACACACAAGCACCATTGTAATGTATCTCAAGTTGACTAGATAACGCTCGGGTGGTTGTTGACGTATGGTTCACCAAATGCATTCGAAAATTCTATTCGACCCTCGGTAAGGAAATGGTTCCCCACCGCTCCTTTAGATTGATCCCATCACCCGTGTTTAGGTCTCGATCTACCAGGCTGACTTGTTTCGTCTCACTCGTGCTTAGTTCAACCACCACCACTGGGCAGGTCACAACACTTTTGCATTTCTGCTTCTCCCTTCGCTACCGCTCGACTTTTGTAAATTCCCTCTCGTCGTCTCTTCCCCCCCTCCCCCCCCCCCCAATTTTAACATTGCTGTTCGTCGTTAGCCGCTTGGCGTTTTATCTATCGGGCGTGTGGTTCACCAACCGTGATTTAACAAACAAAAAAGACACAATCTGGAGAGAAATATGCTGCCATGAAGCTCATCCTTGAGCTAACGTAGCAAAGAGGGCTTCGATTTAATTAATTCTAATTTATTACAATTATTTCGCCGTGGGTCCATGGGCCTGGTAGATATTCGTGTGCGGTTGTTGTTTTTTTGTCCCGATCCGTACAGCAGCACGAAAGAAAAAAACCTAGAAAAATGTATTAAAAAAATATTTCGCGATGGCTCAATGCCCATTTATTGCAAAGTAATACGCGATTCAAGCGCAGGAGAACGGCGTTGTGTTCCCAGACAGAAGGCCCTCTTCAATGAAACATCTCCCAGACGACGCATGCGCGGCAGATGGATACCGGGACAGACGCCTCCACGTGGCTCGTCGTGGCACTTGCGCTGCCAGGGGAGATTTGTCACCGCGCTTCAATGAGATGGGGCTGGCAGAGAGTTGGGTGGGGGGGAAAGACATCGAATTAAGCACACGCGGATCCGGGCTCCATCAAAGGTCGTGCCAAATTCGTGCTCAAAGCGCCGCGTGCGAGGATAAGCTGACTCGCGGTGAAGTGTTTAGCACGCTCGTCACACTGGGATGCAATATCTAGAGGTTCGCCGGTTTAAAAAAAAAATCGTGCAATAGTGTAGACAATCGTTTCTGAATTTCACTCAGCCCCCCACCGCCCGCCCCACTTCTGTCCACACAGCAGTATGAATGGATACGCCACAGTTAGCTTAGTTGATCGACAGCTCGTCGCGTGAGGTTGTGTGAAAGCTGTGGGCGCTGCCACCACTTTCAAGGCATCGAGCCAACGTGGGACTGTAGCCCAAGTACCCTCAAATGGGGCTCCCTCCAGTAGATGGCCTTCAGTCAGCAGTAGCGTGAAAAATACATTTCAGGCTGCACCTTTACCTTTATTATCGCAAAGGCGCAGCGCCGCCTCCACCACGCATGTGCCACGTGTGCGTAGCGGGTCAGTATGTGCACGAGATGAATTGCACGCGATGAATTGCACGAGATGAATTGAATGCGATGAGTTGCACGTAAGATCGCGTATCGGGAATTGCGCGCAGGCTGTGTGAGATGGAGTCGGTGCGGATCAGTGGCGAGATGTTAAATACCTCGTCTGGTATGCAAGAGGTCGTGGGTTCAATCCCAACCCTGACGCCTGCTATATATTTAGAGTTTGCGTGTCTCTCTCCCCGTGTTCGTGTGGATTCTTCTCCCCTCCGGTTTCCCCCCCCCCCCCTCCACATTTAGAAACATACGTTTAGAGTATTTGGCTGCAATACATTTCCACATGATAAGCCACTTTGTTGAGCTATCATTTGTGGCCAGGTCGCTTCTGGAAAAGGAGCTGCTATACAGCTCAGTGGTCCTTACCTGGTAAAATACAGAAATAGCTTAGATTAGTTCTATACTGCGAGTACAGGAATAAGTGCGCGCGAGCTGCCAGCTCAGATTTGCGTGTTGCTCAGGTTAAGACTCTTCTGTTGAACGAATGAATAATGCTCCATTGCACCATGGCTCATACACCGCCACCCCTGTGAGATGCTGGAGGGACTCAGGGGAGTAGAGCACAACACATAATAATAAAAATGTCTCAAGCTTCGAAGTTGATTACGCTACCCCCTGTTGCATCGGCGAGATCACGGCAAGGAAGCGAAACAGAGGAGCCTCTGATTACACGAGACACAGAGCCCCCCCCCTCCACTACTGCTTTAGCCCCCCAAAATATGTTTCCTTTTTCTATTCTTATTTTCCGTGTAAGTGTACCGCATTTATTTCCGTGTACCTCTTCTGTACGTCCCTCACCGTGTCTCTCTGTATATGCGGGTTTCTGTGTACGCCTACATATTAACCCATAGCACTTGGGGTCTGTCCCGTGGACCGCCTGTCAACGACCCTTTCACAGTTTACGTGGCCTCAACGTGCACCTAGCCTGGCACGAGCGATGCGTTGACTGACCTGACACATAGTGGCAGATGGCCGCTGTTGTTGTCCGCATGTTTACTTCTCCGTGTCTTTCTCCATGTT